CCCCTCCTGTGTTCTGCCCTAGGCACTTTTTCTTGCCATTCCTGGAACAGAAAAATTCCTGCCTCGGGCCTTGTTTTCCCCTTTTCCCTTCTGGAAGCTGCTCTTTCACCTCCCTTTAGGTAAAGGCTCTGATGACATCAGTGAAGTTTCTTAACCCTATTTAAGTTTGCACCATCCCCCTAGGACCAGCACCCCTTTTATCCATTCTTCCTGAAATTATGAATTAAAAAAAAAAAAATTAATGCTGAATCCCCAGTTCCTAGAACAGAGTCTGGCACATTACGCGCTCAATAAATTTTGGTTGACTTAATAAATAGCTGGAACGAAAAAAAAAAAAAGAATAGCTGGAACGACACCAGGCATTGTGATATGTGCGTTAATTATCTCATTAGACGCACACAACAGTACTGAGAGGTGCACTCCTTGGCTTTAACTACTCTACAAACGGGGGACGGGGAGGCTGCAGCTGGCGGAGCCCCAGGTCTCCGGCTCCCGGGTCTCTCCGTCAGGGCTGACCTGTCCCCCTCTCCCCGCAGGTCCCGAGCGAGGCGCCAGCGCCGTCGGCGGACCCGGCGCGCCCACACGCGTGCCGGGACTGCGGCCGCGCCTTTGCACGCCGCTCCACACTGGCCAAGCACGTCCGCATACACACGGGCGAGCGGCCTTTTGCGTGCACCGAGTGCGGCCGGCGCTTCTCGCAGAAGTCGGCGCTGACCAAACACAGCCGCACCCACACGGGCGAACGGCCTTACGAGTGCCCGGAGTGCGACAAGCGCTTCTCCGCCGCCTCGAATCTGCGGCAGCACCGGCGGCGCCACACGGGCGAGAAGCCGTACGCATGCGCACAGTGCGGCCGCCGCTTCGCGCAGAGCTCCAACTACGCACAGCATCTGCGCGTGCACACGGGCGAGAAGCCGTACGCGTGCCCGGACTGCGGACGCGCCTTCGGCGGCAGTTCATGCCTGGCGCGCCACCGACGCACGCACACAGGGGAGCGGCCGTACGCCTGCGCCGACTGCGGCACGCGCTTCGCCCAGAGCTCGGCGCTGGCCAAGCACCGGCGCGTGCACACGGGCGAGAAGCCGCACCGCTGCCCCGTGTGCGGCCGCGGCTTCGGCCACCGCTCCAACCTGGCGGAGCATGCGCGTACGCATACCGGCGAGCGGCCCTATCCCTGCTCCGAGTGCGGCCGGCGCTTCCGCCTCAGCTCGCACTTCATCCGCCACCGTCGCGCGCATATGCGGCGCCGTCTCTATATCTGCGCCGGCTGCGGCCGGGACTTCAAGCTACCAGCTGGAGCCACTGCCACCGAGCGCTGCCCAGATTGTGAGGGCAGCTGAGCCGCCGTTTCTCTTCTCCGCGGGGTGCGAGTCTCCAGCTGGGGAGGGGCACTCTGGGATTCCAACCTGGGGCTGCGTTTACCTGGACATCTCCCCGCCCCACCACCAGCGTCTTGAATAGGATGGGACTGGCAGGTCTGGCTGCCCTGGAACTGGGAGACAGGATTCCCCTACCGGGATCCCTGGAAACGTGCCCAATTCCCCCTCATTACATCCCCTCGGCCCATGTTAGAGTGAATAAAGTATTATATCCTCACCCCATCCGTGCCTGTGAATGAGGTGGGCGGGGAGAGGCCGGAATTTGGCGGACTCCCTAGGCTTAGGTGAATTAAGTGAATCGGCAGGGATTCAAGTGGGGCTATAAGCCCAAAAGGGTTCCAGGAACTGGGTTTGTGGGTGTAGAGTCATTCTACACTTGTTCCTTGGTTATGTCTTCATGAACTCAGATCTAGAAGGGTTCATAAATTTGTCGCATTCGTGATCAACGGGTAATGCATTTTGCAGAACTTTGGTGAGTGGGCGTGAACCTCTTGCAACTCAGTCTAGCAGAGAAGCAATAGTGGCAACTTTGTGTGCAGGTGTATGCTCAGTCATGTCTCTTTGTCAGTGGTAGCCCACCAGGCCCCTCTGGCTATGTAATTTCCCAGGAAGAGTACTGGAGCAGGTTGCTATTTCCTTCGGAATCTTCCCAACCCAGTAATTGAACTCATGTCTCTTGACTTGCCTGCATTGGCAGGTGGATTCTTTACCGCTGCACCACCTGAGTTTAAAGGCCTTCAGTGCTGCATTATTACTAGCTCATTTTCATCCTCAAAGCATTCCAAAGTTAGGTAACTCACTTTACCTCTATTTCTGCAGATAAGCAGATAGGTACTGACAGCCAGTCAGTAGTCCTGTGGGGGACTGACAGCAATCCCTTGTCACTGGGACAATGATGGTGGAGCTATTGGATAGGAGAGGTCCTCAGTGCAATCTTGGAGGTTAGAGAAGCTCTTCTCAGAGGTGACACTTTTTTTAGCGGTGCCCTGCAAGGATCTTAGTTCCCTGACCAGGGATCGAATGGAACCTGCACCCCCCTCCATTGGAAGAAGCGTGGAGTCTTAACCACTGGACTGCCAGGGAAATTCCCTCAGAGGTGATATTTGAGCTGGTCTTAAAGTCAAGAGAGTTGGGGTTGGGGAGATATGAAGAGAGCCCCGGAATCTGCATGGCAGACTTGTTAGAGCTTGCAGGCATCCCCAGGGGGTGGAATGTAGAGACAAGAAGCAAGGAGGTTGGCAGGAGACAGACCACTAAGGACATTGAAAGCCAGGTGAATGGCTCAGAGGTCACACAGAAGCCTTGAGGGATTAGGGGGGAGGGAGGGATCTGACATATTATGGAACTAGAACTCATAGGAGTTAAAGTGGACCTGGGACACGGGAGAGTTGGGCTGATTTCACTTCTTAGCTTGGGGGACCGCAGGCAGTGTCACTGAGATGGGGACACAGGATGGGGAGCAGGGTGGGAGTTAAGTGGCAGCCACTGCTGCAGCCCAGTCTGGACAAAAAATGTGGAGGCATCAGGGAGGTGATAGAAGTAACAGCTCAGCGGTGTCAGGTCTGGAAGCTATGGCACCACATCCAGAGAGGGTACTCAAGAACTTGAATCTGTGAATGAACAGCCAGAGGTAGAAAGAAAACTGAAAGTGTCTGGGAAATCTAGAGGAAAGTGTTTCACAGAGGAAATTTAGCTGTCAGATGCTGCTCTGGTGACCACTGTGTGTGTATGAATTCAGGGAAAGCAAAGAGAACAGTTTCAGTTGAGGTGTGTGCATGCTCAGTCGTGTTGTGTCTGACTCTTTGCGACCCCATGGACTGTAGCCCACCAGGCTCCTCTCTTTGTGGAATTCTCCGGGCAAGAATACTGGAGTGGATTGCCATTTCCTCCTCCACAGGATCTTCCTGACCCAGGGGTTGAACCCGCGTCTCCTGTATCACACTTGGATTCTTTACCCCTGAGCCAACAGGGAAGCCCCTCCAGGGAAGGGGTGGGGGTGAAAGCCAACCTTGAGTGGGTTAGGGCAGAAATGAGAGAATAAGGAAGCAAGAATGGGTGGCTTGGCTGTGAAAATCATGATGGAAGTAGCTGGAGTTTTGTTGATTTTGCCTTATCAATAGGGAAGAGGCTTGATTATGCTTTATGGGCTGATGGGAAGGGCTAATGGAAAGGAAGAGACCTTAATTATATAGAGGAGAGAGGAGATAATTGATCAAGGAGACAGGCTGAAATAAGAGATCAATAAGATAAAGCTCTTGATATCACTGACAGGAAGGTTTGGAACTTAAAGCAATTCCAACCTGATGGATTCTCTTACCAGGGAAGTAAGAGAGGTCACTGGTTAAGAGGGAGTGAGGTCATTAATAAGAGGACTGAGGCCAGTAAAGTGGAAGGCTTCATTTCACTGATGTGGAAACAGGGTGAAGGAGGCAGGCCACAGGTATCTCTGAAAAGGAAGTGATGTGCCTGAGGTCACACAACGTGTGAATCATACATTCCCAACAATACCTTTAGACAGAAGTGGAACAAACAAATTTGCCTTGGGAAGGAAGGCCATGATGGGGTGAGGGGTGGGGGTGGGGTGGGATGGGAAGTGTTAGGTATTCCAAGGTCCAAAAGAAAATAAGCCTTGTTCTGCTCCACACCAGACAGACCTGATCCTGATCTGTGCTGGGGGCCAAGGGAGAGGGGCAGAGGGCTCTCACAGCTCTGGGGTCTGATGGACAAGACTGGGGCCTGGGACTCAGGCCCAGGCCGGCCTTAACATATTTCCCGCCCTGGGCCCCTGAAAGTTTTGAGTTGAAAAGCAAACTGATAACAACAACTGCAAACTTAACAACTACCTACTATGCACCAGACACTGTCCTAAACACTCTACATTTTTTTTTTTTTGACTGTGTGGCATGTGAGATCTTAGTTCCGCGACCAGGGATCAAACCCAGGCCCCTTGCATTGAAAGTGTGGGGTCTTAACCATTGGACCACCCGGGAAGTCCAGCAATCTATAATATAATAGCTTACTTAAACCTTACAACCCTACTAAGTAGATACCATTATTTTCATTTTAGATGAGGAAATGGAGGTACAGAAAGATAAAATATAATGCACATCGTGTTGCATGCTAAGTTGCTTCAGTCGTGTCCAACTCTTTGCAACCCTATGGACTGTAGCCCATCAGGCTCCTCTGTCCATGGGATTCTCCAGACAAGAATACTGGAGTGGGTTGCCATGCCCTCCTCCAGGGGATCTTCCCCACCCAGGGATCAAAGCTGTGTGTCTTATGTCTCCTGCATCGGGAGGCGGGTTCTTTACCACTAACACTGCCTGAGAAGCCCCATAATGAACATCATCTAGTACCAAAGATGGCATCTGAGCCCAGATAGCCTGGCCCCAGAATCTGGGCTCCTATCCAACACTACATAAGGCCTCTGATCTTATTTAGAGAAGGGGAAGGGACTTACATGAGATCAGACAGGGAACTTTCTAGAAATCAGATCTCTCTGCTCTGCAGGTGGGAGGTACAATAGAAAAACATGGGAGTTGGGCTCACCGTTCTGGGTGCCCCTCTCCAGCATGGACTGAGACAGAGCCTCCCTGGCTGCCCCAGGAAGAGTCTAGAAGCTGGTAACCGAAAGTTTTATTGAGGGAGAAAAAAACAGGAGACTATCTTCTGGAGGTTCTGGGGCCTTAGACCTCAAGAAGTATAGCCCCCAGGTCCGTGATCTCTTAGGAAAGAACTAGAATGAGGTAACTTGGCCAGGCACCCTCTGCTCCTCAGAGGCCATGCTGAGCTGCAGGTTCTGTGCCCATGTTTCTAGGTTGAGACCTGACCTGTGGACTCAGAGGCAGGGTCTGTAGGCCCCATGGCCTGGTTTTCAGAGGTGGCCCCGTGGGGCAAGTCTGTATACTTGCAGGCAGAGCCACGAGATAGATGCGCTGGATAGCGTTGCCGGTTGATATCCATCTTGGAGAGTACTGCTTGGGGCAGGTCTACACGGCAGCGGGCTGCCAATGCTACCAGGTAGATGAGGACATCACTGAGCTCCTCTTGAAGGGCTGCTCGTTCCCTGGGGGACCAGGCTTGGGGCCCAGGCTCTTCATCGGGCTTCCACTGACTGGGGATAGAACACATAAGACAGGCACACACACATAGATGCTAGCTAGGACAGTGGGTTCCACCTCTCTTAGGAGCAGCCCACACCTTGAAGCAGTGAACTCCCACCTCCTAGAAGTTTCTTCCAGGACAAGTCAACTCATCTGGGCCCTGGACTCCTTATGGTGGGGAAGAGACCTCATCAGATGATTCATCCAGACCTCTGTGTCCCTACCTAAGCCAAGGAGAGGACATTCCACTTTTTGGGACCACTTCTACCCCAGACTAAACCTTAGACCTGGACCACTGCAAAAGTCTGCTAATTCATCTTCTCTTCTTACCCTACCATCTTTTAAAAGAACAAATTACATTTCATTCCTCCTCTGCTTAAAACTCCCCCAACTGGACTTCTCTGGTGGTCAGGTGGTTAAGAATTCGCCTGCCAGTGCAGGGGACACGGGTTCGATCCCTGGTCTGGGAAGATTCCACATGCCATAGGGGCAGCTAAGCCCGTGTGCCACAACTACTGAGCCCATGCACTGCAACTAGTGAAGCTCAAGCGCCCTAGAGTCCATGCTCTGCAACAAGAGAAGCCACTACACCTAGAGAGTAGACCCTACTCACTGCAACTAGAGAAAGCTCACATGCAGCAACAAAAACCCAGCACAGTCAAAAATAAAAACGACACTCCTCTAACTGTGCTTGGAATAAAATCCAAACTCCTACCACGCCCTCCAGGTTCTGCATGAAATGACTCCTGTTTCTGCCAGTGTCATTATCCACCACGCTCCCTCTCACCCTCCCTTAAAGCCACTCATTCTAGCCTCTTCTGTCTTGCAAACAGGCCAAACTGTCACAGGGCCTTTGCACTTACTGCTCCCTCAACCTTGAATGCTCTTCCTCCACCCATGCTTCCCATCAGGTCTCAGCTCAAATGTTACCTCCTTAAAACAGCCTTCTCCCTCTTTTTCTTCTCTCTCCTTCTTTCTCAACACCTCGTGTTATTTGCCTCCTAGAACTTGTCACAATTCCATATCTTTTAAAGTTAGTTCACTTATTTATTGTCAGTCTCTTTGCACTGTGAGGGTATCCATCTTGTTCAAGGCCATATCTTGATTCCAGATGACCTAGCACCCAGACGGTGCTCAAGGACCTGTAATGAATGAATGGATTGCCCTCCCACACATCTGTGCCCTCATTTCTCCATGCCCCTGAGACTACCCTGGTTTGATCCTCACCACCTTTTGCCTCATCTACACCAGTCTCCTCACTGATCTCCCCTGACACAATTCTCCTAGGGGATCAAAGCCACTCGGCAGGTACAGTGATCTTTCTATAACTCAAATCGGGTCAGGTGTTCTGTCCAGAACTCCATTACTTCCCAGCCGAATCCTACCATTCCATGTTCCTATCCTACCCATCTCCTCTGCAGCCACAAGAGATATATGTATTGGGTACTTACTGTGTCAGGTACTTGGGTCACACCAGAGAACAAGACAGATACAAAATCCTTGCCCTTTGTCAAGAAACTTACACTAAAGGAATCTTACATTATTGCTGAATTCCTACATTCTCACTGAATTTAACTTGCCCTTTTCCATCTCACTACCTGTGCAAATGTGGTTCACCCTCTCTGGAATGCCTTTTATAGAAGACCAGCCTTTCTACCCCAGAGGCAGAGGTAAAGGAAGGTTCCCACCACCCCTTCTCAGACCTGGGTCTGCCTTGCTGTTTTTACACCTTTCTCTCCCAGGAGACTGGGAGCCCCTAGAGGGCAGCAGACCCATAAGTCATCTCTCTGAATGCCCAGCAACCAGATACAGAAGAGCCTAGTAGTGAGGAGCAGAAACTGGATCCATGGATATTTGATGGTCAAATGAATCCTCCCCTCCCCTCCTCCACACAGACTCTTCCAGAAAGCCTGTCATCTACTCACAAGAGCTCTGCCAGCTCCCCCACTTCCCCCACCAAGGCCAGGAGGAGGTTCCGAGGCTGATGGAATTGCTCCCAGTCTCGTTCAGCAGCGAACTCAGCATGGAGACGGCGGCTGGAACGGGAGAAAGGGGTAGAAGCCCAGGTCCCAAGGTTAGGGGATGGGGGAGGAGATGCAGGGCCCTGGCAGGTACTCAGTGAGATGCAATGGGAGCATGCAAGTCAGAGGGGATTCTGCAACTAATTCTTTGGATGGCCTAAACAAGTCATCTCTTTTTTAGAGGGTTTGGTTTTCTCATCTGTAAAATGGGTGCATCCTTACGGACCCTAAACTATCGAAATCTAATAATACCCCCATTTTCATTACTCCACTTCCTTTTGCTGCTTCTGCAGTTTTCCCCCACCCGGAATAACCCTGTCTCTGCATATCTAAATCCTATTGATTTTACAGAATGCAGCCCCAGGACACTTCCCCCAAGAAGCCCTCCTGGATTTCCTCCAGAAAGAAATGTCTTCGACGTCTCAACACTACATTTGCTCCCATCCTACCTCCCGCTCCTGGAGGACTGAGGCAGGGCAATAGCATCACCGTACTCCGGTATGTCCCCTGCCTCAGATGTGTATAGTTAAGCCCAGTTTGCAGAGGAGAAGGTTAGAAGTTTCGCCTGGGGTCAACCCCCCAAACTAGAACCTGAGCACAGCTACTAGGCTTTTTTTCCGAACACGTGGAGGGACCCTCCCCGAAAGGAGGGAGTAAGGGCAGATGATCTCCCCAGCTCAGGCTGGGCAAGGACGGCTTACATGTCCTCGAGCGTTGGTTCCGAGCTGAAGCTGAAGGAGCCGGGAGCAGTAGTGCTCTCTCCTCTGGCACCTCCACGAGTCTCTTCACTCGCGGACATGCCGCCCACCGAGCTGCAGCCGGGACGGTCCGGGAGAACCGGGAGTCAAGCTCGGAGCCCCCGCCTCCACAGCCCCTGACCAATCACAGGCGTTTGTGATTGCTTCACAAGGGCGGAGCCAAAGGAAAGACCAATTATTTATGTGGAGTTCGCTAAGTCCCTCCCCTTACCCGGATTGGACCAACCTGAGAGGACTTCAAGCGGGCGTTCCTTGGCTTCCGCCCCTGAATTCTTGAGTCTTGACCGAGAACCTTAAAGATATAGGTACTAGTTTGGACGAGGGGAAGAGACAAAGGGCAAAGGGTGGAGAGCGCAGGCGCGTAACTTCCCTTTGGGACGCCAGATGGCGCCAAAGCGAAATGACAGAGCGGGGAGCCTCGTGGCGAACCCCAGAAATGAGTGGTTTACAATAGAGAGGGGAGTTTGCTAAAACGACACAAGAATGTCTCCAGGGTAAAACTGAGCCTGAGGAATGAACTAGAACTAGGGTTGTTGTTCAGTCCGTCAGTCGTGACCGACTCTGCGACCCCCTAGACTTCCCCATGCCAGGCTTCCCTGTCCTTCACTATCTCTCTGAGTTTGCTCAAACTCCTGTCCATTGAGGACTTCTCTATAACCTAAAAAGTAAAGAATCTGCCTGCAATGCCGGAGACGAGGGTTCGATCCTTGGGTCGGGAAGATCCTTTGGAGAAAGGAATGGCAATCTACTCCAGTATTCTTGTCTGGAGAATCCCATGGACAGAAGCCTGGTGGGCTGCAGCCTGTGGGGTCGCAAAGAGTTGGACATGGCTGAGCCACTAAACACACACACACACACACACACACACACACACACACACACACACACGTCCATTGAGTCGATGATGCCATGCAACCATATCATCCTCTAGGGGAACTAGGGAAGCTGTTTCAATTTTACATATTTAATCCTCACAGCTATTCATTCAGTCCTCAAATCAGCCCTCTGAGGTAGTTAATATTATAATCATCATCTCCATTGTACAGACACAGAAACTGAGGGATTGAGTAATTTAACAATACAGTTAGTAAAGTGGTAGCCAGGTTACAAATTTAGGCAGTTTGGCTTCAGAATCTGGATTAACTCTTACTCTATATTGTCTCAAATGGTGATAAGTACTATGGTACAAAGCAAGATAGAAAGGACCTGGATCCTTGATAATACTGCTGAACCACTTATTTTTAAACAGGTTACAGAGATGCCCTGATTTAAAACTCTGGTTATATAAGAATAAATCCCTTTATTGGTCAAACCACTTTTAGGGTTTTGTTTTTGTTACTTGTCTTTGAGAAACTGGACATTTAACCTGAGTAATTATTAATAAATCAAGGGGAATAGGGGACTTCCCTGGTGGTCCAGTGGCTAAGACTCTGCACACCCAATGCAGGGGGCCCAGGTTCCATCCCTGGTTAGGAAAGTAGATCCCACATGCTGCAATTAAATATCCCAAATGCCTCAATTAAATATCCCAAATGCTGTAATGACGGTCAAAGATCCTGCATGTTGCAACTAAGTCCCAGCACAGCCAAATAAATAGTTTTTTAAAAACGTTAAAGAAAAATCAAGGGGAATAGAGTACTAGGTAGAGAGAACACCAGTGCTTAAAGCAGGGAAGGCTTGGCATGTTCTAAATGCAAAAAGAGTTCCACTGTGGCAGGAATGCAGTGAACAAACAAGGGGGAGAATGGTGGGATGTGGTGTTGGAGAACTAAAAAGAGGTGAGATCAGATTAATCAACCATCGATTTTATTTCATATTTTCTTTTATTTTGGATTTTAAATATGTGGGAAACTTTTGAAGGATTTAGGCAGGGGAGCCATATGATCATATTTTGTATTTCTGAACCCTCTTACTGCTGTATTAAGAATGAACTGGAGGAGGGACTTGCCTGGTGGTGCTGTGGATAAGAAGATAAGGTGGTGTCCATCTGCCAATGCAGGAGACACGAGGTCGATCCCTGATCCAGGAAGAGTCCACATGTCGGGTAACAACTAAGCCAGTGCACCACGACTGTGAGCCTGTGCTGCAACTGCTGAAGCCCACATGTGACCACGCCCCACAACAAGAGGGGCCACCGCAGTGAGAAGCTCTCATTCGGCAACTAGGGAGTAGCCCCCACTCGCCACAACTAGAGAAAGCCTTCACAAAGATTCAGTGCAGCCAAAAATAAAGAAACAAATACTTTTTAAAAAGAATGAACCAGAGGAGGGCAAGAGTAAGAAGCAGGGAGATGAGGTACTGCAGTTTTCCAGCAAGAAATGTTGGTGAGTTGGCCTGGGCTGATGGTGGGTGAAGATGAAAAGAAGTAGATGCATATCCTAGAGACAGACCTATAGACTTTGTTGGTTTTGAACTAGTGAGATGGGAGAAAGGGTAAAATCAAGCATGGCTTGCAGGTTTTGAGTGTTGAGCAGCTTGGTGGATAGATGGTGACTAATACTGGGATGAGGAAGATGAGGTGCAGGATTGAACACAAGAGGCATCAGAAGTGTGGTTTAAGACAAAGCAAGGTGAAGACCCATATCAAGTTGGCAGGTGGATTTATGAGCCTAAGGGTTAGAGGCAAGATCAGGGCTAGAGATTCAGATTTGGTAGCCTCTGTCATTAAACACTACTTGAAGTTAGGGAATTCAAGAAGAATAACTAGTACAAGAATCTAGGTAGGTAAGACTAAGATTTGGGGTACTCCGACATTTAGCAGTTGAGCCAAAAAGAAGAAAAGGGCTTCCATGGTGACTCATTGGTAAAGAGTCCACTTGCCAATGCGGGAGACAAAGGATCGATTCCTGGGTTGGGAAGATCTCCTGGAAGAGGAAATAGCAACCCGCTCCAATATCCTTGCCGGGGAAATCTCATGGGCAGAGGAGCCTGGCGGGCTACAGTCCATGGGTTGCACAGTCAGACATGACCAAGCGACTTAACAACAAGAGAAGAGAAGGTGAGGTAGGAGGAAAATTGACAGAGTGTGAAGTTATGGACACTAAGAGAGGAAAGTGTTCCAGAGTGAGTGGACATATGATGCAGCTGAGCACCTGGGTAAAAGTACAGAATTTGCTACTGGATTAGGCAATATGGAATTTAGATATGGGAGGTGGGAGATAAGAGGGAGTCCTGGGTAACTCCTAGGTTTCTGGCTTGAGTAAATAGATAAATAGTTTTGTCATTTGCTGAAATGAGGACATAGAAGACCTGGAAGTTGTGGTAGGAGGGAAGATACTGAATTTGGTTTGGGACAGATTGAGTCTGAGATCTAGGCAAAACATCCAGGCAATGTCCAGCAGGTAGGTGGATATACAGGTCTGAAGTTTGAAGCATTGAGCTGCCCTATGGATCTGGGCACTGAAAATTTCAGGAGCCAAGTACTACCCCTAGCATCTTCCTTGATGTTTGCCAGGAGCCAACACACGAGACCCTACCCATGACAAGGTCATGAGGGAGAAAACCTGACGGGCAAGGCGGATCAGGTTTTCAGGGGTTTCGAAAAGGCCAGCTCACGAGACGACCCTACCCCTAACAAGGCCGTAAGGGAGAAAACCTGACGGGCAAGGCGGATCAGGTTTTCAGGGGTTTCGAAAAAGCCAGCTCACGAGATCCCACCCATGACAAGTTCACGAGGAGAAAGCCTGACAGGCAAGGCTGATCAGGTTTTCAGGGATTCCAAAAAGCTGCCCCCGGCGCTCACCTTAAAGATGATATCTGTCTTTCTGATGCCTGCCTCAATAATTTCTGTGACACAGGCAGAAGGCCTTCCCCGATCTCTTCCCAAATAAGAATCAATTTAGAACTTTAATCAATAAGTTTCCCAGGTGGTGGTATTTTATGAGATTATCCAGGGTGAAAGGAGTGTTTTAATGTAAACTCCTTTGCTGGTAGTTTGTTAGCCAAATGCATTTATGCCCTTGGTACTAATATGCATGATTGCTTATATTATACTAATCATAAAATAGCATAAAGACCCTAATTATATAAAAGCCCTAATAAGACATAGAGCCTTTTTGAGGGGTGAAGGAGTCCTATTAGAAAACATAAGAAAAATTATTCTAAAGGTGGTTATTGGGTTGACGTTTGCTTGCTGTGTTTTTCTTGCTGTGTTTTTGCTTTTAATGTGCTAAGGTTGTGTTATAGAAACCATTGTTAATATAGATAAAGATCTAGAGAAATAAGAACTTAGCCCTAGTGTGGTAACAATGAGATGGTTGTTAATTGTCAGCCAGGAGTGCTAGGCAGAAGCTGCCTCACCAAAGTCGCAGAGTCAGTGTGGGGTAAACTTCTTAGATAAATGCAACTGACAACTTCTGCAGAAGGATTAATTTTTGTATTAACAAGGTTATATTTCTACTCTGTACTATTGCCCTATGAGACTGCTACCTTTCAGTTAAGGTCACCATAGAAACGGAAAATAGGTTTACATTCACCTGACCTGCATAAAATGTTAATGAGCCCCAAGGCCAGAAGATCATGTGCTAAGAATTACTATAGAATTAGAAAGCAAAAAACATCCTGCTTTTCCTAAAAAACAAAATGATGTAATACTAATCCTGTGTAAGCATGAGTAAACATCTTGTACCTTGAAAACATTCTGAGTAAGGGTATAAAACCTGTTGTCAAAAAGTAAAACACAGACTTGGCCCTATCAAGGCTGGTCTCACTTGTCTTCTCCCTCTCTCTCGCCGACGCCGTTCATCCTGAGGGTATCGCCTGGATCCTGCCGAGGCTGGACCCCGGCAGGTGTTTACTAAGCTTCTCCAGTTGTGTGTGTGTTCAATTGCATCTGACTTTGCTGCCCCATGGACTGTAGCCTGCCAGGCTCCTCTGCCCATGGAATTCTCCAGGCAAGAATACTGGAGTGGACTGCCATTTCCTACTCAGGGGATCTTCCCTGACCCCAAGGTCGAAGCCGCATCTCTTGTGTCTCCTCCACTAGCAGGCAGATTCTTTACCACTAGTGCCACCTGGGAAGCCCAGCTTCTCTAGACCAAAATCAAACTCTTACTGGAATATAAAACACAACTTGGAGAACAACTTTCTCAAGAGTCCTCTGCATCACAGATTTTTTGAGTCAGGTTTTCAGGACTTCTAGAGTTCACAGGTCAAATGGTCCTTGGAGACTGATCTGAAGGAGGAGGCACTCTCCCTGAGACTGCCTCTGCCCACCCCTCCCCCACCCCACCCCACCTCCCGCTCCAGGAGGTTCCCTGGCAGAGCTGTAAAGCTCTTCCAAAGCATCCTGCA